CGGGGCGGGGCGGCGCGGGCGGGTCGCTGCTCGGTGCCCGAGGGCCCCTTCCCGGGCCACCTGGTGGACGTCAGCGGCACCGGGACCCTGTCCCACAGCTACCAGTACCAGGTGCGTCTGACAGGAGGCTCAGGGACTTTGAAGTTCCTCAAGCCAATTATCCCCAACTTCCTTGCCCAGGGTGTAGAGAGGGGTAGTGAAGCCAACTCCAGTTTCAGGAATAGCTTTGAATTCAGTTAAGTATTCATAAGGGTCTCTACTGTGCTCAGTCTCAGTTAATCTGTAGAAAGTCCTTTTTTTACTGCCTTGCCCCCTGGAGTTTCTTTTTATTGTAAGAAATGGAACTATCTTATTCCAATTCAGTGCATGTTACTGGTGTTTCTAAATGTGTTGCTCTGTGACAAAATGAATGCAAATTTTCTTTGTATTCTTACTGTTGATTAGTATCACAGTAACTTGATTCAAGTGTGAAAGAAAGTAAATTTTGTATTTTCCGTAGTCTTTAAGTTAGAGCATCTTTTCTCAAAATTCATCTTTCACAGTCCCTAGGTAATTTTTGCAGTCCTTACATTTTTAAAGGTTTGCTATAACTACATAGGGTTATTCTTTTTCCTACACAGAATATTTGTTTGTATATTCTCTTAGGCTAGTTTTTTTACCCTGTGAACTCACATTAGCTAAAATCACTAATATAGGTATGTTCATGAATAACAAAACACCCTCTCACACTTATCTAAATATATATTTCCTTAAAATGTTCATATATAAAAATTATGATTCATCTATTAACTTTGAATACTTCATTAAAATCCAAAAGATTTGAGGGACTATGTGTCTTTGACCAAATTTTAGAAACTTCAAATGTAGTTTGCCATTCCATTTTTCAAAAATATCTGGAGCACGTATGACTCAGTTGGAAAATAAGCCCATGGGAAAATATTTATCTTGGTGTGCTCATTCTGTTTTTTGGGAGGGGGCACTGACCTCTTCCAATGTTCCCCTTTCAGTGTCCTAGACTTTTCAGTGCTTTTTTTTTCTCTTTAGGTGCTTTTGTTTCTCAATAGTTCTCCATTAATTGCATGATTAGCACAATGACTGGAAAACCATAGGTTCTTAATAAAATTTTTGAATGATTGAAAGAAATTTTTTTTCACTTGTGACATGCTGATATTTAAATACATTAAAATACTCCAAGGCAAAATTCTGCTGGAATTAAATGCTCTCTGATTTAATTTTTGTTATTAATTGAACTTCACTGTTATTCAGATATTACACAGTTATTAGTGCCTGGTGTCTCCTCCTTTCAACATATTTTTCCTTTTTCTCTTCCTGCTTTATGAGTTTCCTCTCCTGCCCACTAGCTTAAGGAATATATATGGGGAAATTGTGTTTTCAATTTCATAATTTAAAATTTCTTCTATGAATTATATGGAATTCTTAAATAATTAATTGAGCTTTCTTTATTCTTAGTTATTTCTTGCAGTTCAATTTCTGATCCATACATGAAAACGAAATTTTAATTTTTTATGTTCTTCAGCCTATCATTAAATTTTTATATCATTTTATGTTTATTTGACTGAGGTATACTATTAAAATTATAATGTAAAATTTAAAGGTCTCATTTTGAGTTTAGCAGTCATGTAGAGAAGTATATTGATATCAAAAGTCTTTGATCAACCAGCTTACTACCTACCTGTAGGATCTTGGATAAGTCACATAATTTCTGTCCCTCCAAAGTGATAACAGCTATTTCAATAGCTTGCAGTTATGATTAAGTTAAGTAAGCATGAGGATACAGAAGTGTAATTTTGTTGTTTTAGTATGACTAATATTACAGGTAAATTTAATAGATGATCTTCCATATAACTACTGATAATTGTGAAAAATCTATATTGAACACATGGTATTTGTGTTGTTTCATTTCTCTGCCTAAAACCTTGCAATAGCTTCCTTTTATTCTTAGAATAAAATCCAGCCACCCATTATTTGGCCCCTGCTTAAGAAGGCCTCTCCAGCCTTCTCTTCCCATTTTTGAGGCACAAAGCTTTGGATGCACTGTCCTTCCTTAATTATCCAGAATAGCTATGCTCTACTATCCCAGGGCATTTTGTATATCAGTTTCTTTTCTACTTTTTAGCCTGGCAAACAACTTCTCCTCCTTTATGTTTCCGGTTAAATGGCACGTCCTTGGGAAACTTTCTCAGTCTTCCTCCAGATTAAGTTAGGTCCCCCTATTGTATTTTCAGTGCACTCAGTATACATTTCCTATATAGCACTTTCCAGTTTGTTTAAACATCCGTTTAAAGTCTGTTCATCCCGTTAAACGTTAAATTATATAAGATATATAGATATGGTTTGTTTTATTACCACTATACATCTAACTGCTACAAACTCAATAAATATCTATTTCCACATATGAAATAGTTATGCATATTAAGCAGTTAATACAGATGAAACCAGTAATCGTAAAATTAATGAAATAAGAGGAGGAGAAAGCTCTGTGTTCCTTGAGTAAGTGTAAAAATGTGGAAGGAATCAGGCATTTGTGGTCTCTGGATATGTCCCCTGATGTGATGAGGCTGTCTTTTCATAGCATTTTTTCTGACTATAAATGCAACTCATGTACATTTTACAAAATTTGGAAAATTAAGAAAAACACAAATAGGAAGGTGAAACGTCATCATTTAGACCAAGATCTTTCTAACTTTTTGTGTAATGCAGGGGGCAGGTGAGTAGCCCTACCAGGTGTCCACTTCCTTAAAATATGAGAAATAGGACTCTACCACGAAGTCACTTCTTCTAGATAAGAGCGCAATTCCCTAAGTTGTGTTTACTTAACCCATATAACACAACAAACTCCTACAGTAGCGTCAGCTAGGTTTGATAAAGGGAATAAGCGAATAAAATAAAACAAAACAAAGCTCAAAAACCGAAGTACCTTCTCCAAGATTTTGAAACTGCAAGTGAACGCATGGTGGCGCTGTTGTCTAAGAAGAATTAAACCGCAGTCGCCGCGTAAACTGTAACACACCGATCCAGTGTAGTAAATTAGGGATTGTGAACCGGGACCGATTTATAAGCAAGCAAATCTGAGACTCTGGAAAGGATTATTCGCTAGGTCTTCTTTAAAGGTTGGGAGGCCAAAGATTGCGTTTCCCAGTGCTGTTGGAGGCTAGTTTGGCAATATTTCTTGGAAGAACATGGCAGAAAATGCAGTGGAGGCTGGTGGAGAGCGCTTTCTTAAAAAAAGGCAAGTCCTGTTTCTCTTTGTTTTTCTGGGTGGGTCTCTGGCTGGGTCCCAGTCGAGACGCTACTCTGTGGCTGAGGAAAAAGAGAGGGGCTTTTTAATAGCCAATCTAGCAAAAGATCTGGGGCTGAGTGCAGAGGAACTGGCCGCAAGGGGGGCCCAAATTGTGTCTAAAGGGAACAAACACCATTTTCAGCTCAACCATCAGACCGGGGATTTGCTCCTGCTGGAGACATTGGACCGGGAGGAGCTATGCGGCCCCACAGAGCCATGTGTACTGCATTTTCAGATATTACTGCAAAACCCTTTGCTGTTTATTACAAATGAACTCCAGGTCATAGACGTAAATGACCACTCTCCTGTATTCTCTGAAAATGAAATGCAGCTAAAAATCCTAGAAAACACTCCACCGGGAACAATAATTCCTTTGGAAAATGCGGAGGACTTGGATGTGGGAAAAAACAGCCTCCAAAACTACACGATTACTCCTAATTCCCATTTCCACGTTCTCACACGCAGTCGCAGGGACAAAAGGAAGTACCCAGAACTAGTGCTGGACAAAGTGCTGGATCGTGAAGAGCAGCCAGAGCTCACTTTAACGCTCACTGCGCTGGACGGCGGGACTCCACCCAGATCTGGGACCGTCCAGATCCACATCTTGGTCTTAGACATAAACGACAACGCCCCAGAATTTACACAGTCGCTCTATGAGGTTCAAATTCTAGAGAACAGCCCCCTTAACTCCGTTATTGTCACTGTTTCGGCTTCTGATTTAGATACAGGAATTTTTGGGACAATATCATATGCATTTTTTCATGCTTCTGAAGAAATTCGAAAAACTTTTCAACTAAATTCAATTACTGGAGATATCCAGCTAACCAAATACTTGAATTTCGAGGCGATTAATACTTATGAAGTTGACGTTGAAGCCAAGGATGGTGGAGGCCTTTCAGGAAAATCAACAGTGATAGTTCAGGTGGTTGATGTGAACGACAACCCACCAGAACTGAGCTTGTCCTCAATTACCAGCCCTATCCCAGAGAACTCGCCAGAGACTGTGGTGGCCATTTTCAGTGTTTCTGATCTAGACTCAGGAGACAATGGGAGAATGATATGTTCCATCGAGAATGATCTCCCCTTTGTCCTGAAATCCTCCACGG